TTCCCCTGTTCGGCCCTATATTGGTCTCAAAGAATGAAAAATATTCACTTATATATCTCGTGCCTCCTGAAAATCACTGTATAAGTCACGTACGCACTCAAAGGCCACTACAACTTGAAGTGCATGTTGAATGCGTGACGCATTCTACACTCCGACCGGATTATAAGGCAACTGAAGGAAACCATGCTTTATTGGCACATGGCCAATTATTATCCTCAGACTGCATAATGGGCAGCAAATGTCTCATAACAAAAGATTTCCACAGAAATGTAATCCAGTTAGAGGTTGCAAACCTCATAAATCTACCATGGACAAAGCCATGGCCCATCCTGAAGAAAAACCTCCCCCCTTACCATTTGACCATTTATCAGCTCATCCTAGGATCAAAGTTTTATGCGTACGATACGCCGTTGCGGACTGGTTACGCCGTGCGACCGTTTATGGCGACGGCGAAAGAAATCGTCCGCGCTTAGCGAAACTAATCAACGATTTATGCTCCCCACTTTCTGTCACTGATTCTGTGGATCCAAAGTCTAATTAACCGGGTCATTAGTCTACCGTAATCCTCGATCATTACAGAATTTCTGAGGTACTGTAGTGGTACTGCCTACAAGACATTTGTCTGCTTTAATAGCAGGGTGTGAAAGTACAAAGTGTATCAATCGCTTACCAGTTTCGTCAGAAGTACGCCACGTATTCCACCGACATTGAGGATTGCAGAAGCATTCCAATAGGCGCTTGCTCTGCGCGTAGCGAGTCAAACGAAGTAGATAAGGACGATTTCAGCCACTGAAACAATTCCAACACCTACTCTCAGGACCCGAGCAGATGAAAAAGCCAAACAAGCCAGTTCTTTTGCCGACGCTTGGATTCAAAGCCCGCCACACCATCTTGAACAACTCGAGGTCGTATTTGGCCTGTTGAGTGGAGCATTTCTCAATGCCAAAAGGAGCGCTCATAGCTTTTTTTATTTGGGGGAGAGGGGGTGGAGGGCACCTGAAGGCACCGCT